AATGCCATGAAGTTAAATAGTATGCTAGTGAATGACTAATGTGTGACTGAAGAAAAAGGAAAATCAAGAACCTTCTTGAAGAAAACTATGCAAGCTTATGAAAACTTTAGTGAGAAAAACAACTGTTTTGAAGAAATGAAAACATAAACAAAAACGTCAAAAGCCATGAGATACAATTTTTACTGATCTTTGTTGGTGAGATGTGCCTCCTATAGGCAACAAATAGATGTGTATTGGTTTTTTGATCCAGTCTATTAATGTATAATGTTTGATGGATTTAAGCCATTTACATTCAGGGTTAATATGAATAAGTGGTAATTTGGTCCTGTCATTTCAGCAATGGTTTGTTCATTGTTTAAGTTAGTCATCTGTTGCTATTTTACTGGGATGTTCTTCACATCTGCCTTTGTTTTTGGTGAGTACTATTCCTTTTCTCTGTCAAGAGAACATCTTTAAGTATCATTTGTACACTTGATCTTAGCCAAAAGGCCAAGAAGTGATTCTAAGTATCATTTGTAGGGCAGGTTTGGAAGAAGCAAATTCTTTGAGTTTTTCTTCTTCTTCTTCTTCTTCTTCTTCTCCTCCTCCTCCTCCTCCTCCTTCTTCTTCTTCTTTTAGCATTTCTTTATTGTGGAAGTGTTTTATTTCACTTTCAAAGACAAAGGAAAGCGTTGCTGAGTACATTATTCTGAGCCATTTTTTTTTCTTTCAGAATCTGAAATATGTTGCTCCATTCTCTTCTGGCCTGTAGAGTTTCCTGAGAGAGGTCAGCTGTGAGTCTGATTAGAATTCCTCTACATGTCAATTGATTTTTTTCACAAGCACATTTAAAGATCTTTTTATTATGTGCAACTGAAAAGAGCTTGTGTCATAGTGAAGCTCACTTTTGGTCAGCCCTGTTGGGAGTTCTGTGCCCCTCTTACTCTGTTTCCCAGTTCTTTATCCATATTAGGAAAGTTTTCCTTTATTATTTCATTAAATACATTTTAAAATCCAGCTTCTCTTTCTACACCTTCTGTAACTCCTATAACTCTTATTTTTTTTTTCCTTTTAATAATTATTTCTTAAATGCTTTGCTTAATTTGACTCAGTTCCTCTTCCATGCTTTTCATTGTTTCACCATTTTGGCAAGAAATACCTTCTAATTCTGATACTCTTTCTTCTGCCTCATTCATTCTAGTATGGAGACTTTCCACTGAATTTTTAATTTGCTCCATTGTGTCCTTCATTTCTAATAATTCTCCTTGATTTTGTTTCAGTGTTGCTATTTCCTGTGTGACATTCCTTAAATTTCTGCATGTGTTTCTCATTCTTGATAAGAAGCTTTATAACAAGTGCTTTGAATTCTTTATCCCCCATTTATCAATGTATTCCTCAGTTAATTCTGAGGTGGGCAAAGGCTTTTGCTCCTTTGCAGGGGAGTCTTCAGTAATATTCATTGTGCCTCTATCTCTTCTTTTGCTCTTGGTCATTGTACTTCTGGTTTGGAGATTTTTCTTCCTGGGGCAGGTTTCTAAGCTGTGTCATCCACAATTCAATTTTATTTATTGCATGTGTCCCCAGTTCTTTGTTTGCAGTCACTTGTGCCACTCCCTCCAGTGAGTTTCATGTCTGGACACATGTGGTTAGGCTTCCAACATGGTCTCAGTAGCCCCACCACTTTACACCTCCTGTAATCTTGTGCTGTGGTTGCACTGTTGCCTGTACAAACTTTCTCCCGCTTTCGGTTTGAGCAGTTCCCAGGGTCAGGGAGACATCAGATGTCATAAATAACCAGGTTGTTGGCAGTGCTGATCTTGCTGGAACCTGCTAAATATTATGTCTGAAGGCCACCTGGACCTATTTTGACCCATAGGATGCCAACATCAGTTTTATTTTCCATGTGGGACCAGAGAAATGCACTGAGTTCAGTGAGTTCACTTCTAGCACAACGCATGCACAGCTTATTGTTGTCCCTCCAGTCTCACAGCTTTTGCCTCACTGTACAAAATGGCACTTGATGTACCACTGGTAGAGTTCTGGATCTGCTGGCTATTAGTTCTGGGGGCCTCCCCAACCTATTTTGTGTGGAACCTGTAGGATGCCATATTGATGCAATGAACTCAGCCAGAAATGAGTTCACCCATCCCACAACCTATGCCTCCCTACACAAAATGGAGCCCAATGCAGTTCTGGTGGGGGTCTGGGCTGTGAAATCCACCCTGTTCCTGTACCACTTGTTTGGGATCTGCTGCTGCTTCCTCTCCCTACTCCTGGTCAAATCAAACAAATTAGCAGGATGGGCAGTGCTTTGCCTGGGTTTGCTTGCTGAGTTCCCAGTCAACTCCCCTTCACATCTGGCTGCCGGGTAGAGCTCTAGCCACTGGTGAAGCTCAGATTGCCACTCACTGACTACTGCTCGCATATGTCACTGCAATACCACACCATAGTTCCCACTGCTTTCCCATGTCTGTCAGTCTCCAGGCTTCCCTCTGCCAGCCACCCGTCCTCTCCTATTTCCTAGATTTTACCCTCTCTGTTTTGCCCTGGCTAATGATCCTTATTCTGTCATCTTGATTCTCTAGGTACACTTTCATGAATTAAAAATAGAATGGGTTGAGTGTTGCTGCACAGCAAGCCGAAGTGCCACTTGTGATACTGGCATTCCATATCAGAGTTCTGGTCCCTCAAGCTCTGATCCAGCTTCCTACTAGTGCATCTCAGAAGATAGAAGAATGTCCCTTTGTTACAGGATGATGAAGGCAATCTTGGTTCTTGTCTCAACACTGAAGAAATTTTTTATGTGGACAGTGATAATGAGCAAAGCAAGATATTTATTAAGGTGTGACACCCCCTGCAGCGGTCAGGAGCTGCCCCCTCCCCAAGCTAAAATTCTTTGCCCTTGATGTAAACTCAGACCCCACCCAGGCCTTCTCAGGACCATTCCATTGACTTCTACTGGCTTCCCCAAAACTCCACCCTGATGGTCCTGGAGAACCACTTCAGGTATGGGAGCCTAGCTGCAGTCCAGTCAAATCAAAGGTTGCCAAGGGGTTAAGTTCAAGTAGAACAAACAGGGCTTCTCAGAACCATTCTCTGGAACTGGGCGCAATTCTCAGAGAGAGGGGGGTGATACGGACAATTCCCTGATGAGTGAAGGTTTCCAGTTTAGGCATAAGAGAAATATTAATGGATACCAACTCCCAGTTAAGGATATTATGGGCCAGGTCCCTCCACATAGCAACAGCAATAGAGTATAGGATCAGGTGTTGTTGTCCAGTAGGTTAAACTACCATCTGTATCTTAGATGAGCAACAGTTTGAGTCCTAGCCATTTAGGGAGTGAACCTGCAGAAGGAAACTCTTTGTATTTCCCTCTCTCTGCATATAAATAATAAATAAATAAATAAATAATAAATAAATAATTAATAAATAAATCTTTTATATATATATATGTACATATATGTAGTTAGAATAGGATTCAGTGATTAAGTGCATTAGCCTTGAAGTCAAGAGTGGGATTAAGTCCAAATTCTGCCACATATTAGATATTTTAGTATCAGAGATATTGCCCAATCAGTCTATGCCTCAGGCCAAAATGATGCCTAATCATGTGGGTGGTTGTAGATATTAACTGAGGTCATGTGTCAGGCAACCTGGCTCCCAGCAATCCGCTAATAAATATGGCTACCTCATTATCAGTATTATGAGAGATGGATGAGTAATAAAAAGCAGGGAAGCAGGCATTGTGGCACATCAGGCTAATCTGCTGCTTGGGAGGCTCGTATCCCTCATCACAGTCTTACCTCTGTCTCTGTTTCTGAGTTGGCTCCTTGCTGAAGTGCTTGGGAGGCAAGAGATGATGGCTCAAGAATTTAAGTCTCTGCATCCACTTGGAGACAGATTGAGTTCCTGGCTCCTAGTTTTGTCCTGACCCAGCCCGGATTGTTACGGGCAGTTAGGGGAGTGAGCCAATAAATGAGCTCTCTCACTCTTTCTCTCTCTCTGTCTTTTCCTCTAGTATGTGTGTAACTTTCTCTCAGACAAATAAACAGTTTTAAAAGGCAGTGGGGGGTTGGCCTAATGCACAATTTGATCATAATCCTATATTTTATGTGTGTATGATAAATAAGACATAGTCAGGATACACAGGGTCAGATATAGGTACATAAGGGTCTATAGGACTGCCTTTAACCTGCACAGAGAAAACAACAGGCTACAAGAGATTATCAATATGTAAGATACTACACTAAGGTATATGGGAAGATAGAGATGCAGCCTTCCGGTTATGCCCTCTTTGGGTGAGGGGCTCTGCCCCTTCCTGTCTCTCTACTCACCTGATGGGTTATCCAAGGAGATGCTAAACACACGGCTGGAGGAATGTTAGCCTTGCATTGCAGTGGCATGAGGCAAAAACATTCTGGAAAAACAGTTCCTTTGTTTAAAATAGAAAGTTAAAAGGAAGCCAAGCTAACACATGACAAATGACTGATTATCTGGGTCTCTTAGACAGAATTGAAAAAAAAAAAGCGCACCCCTTCACTTCTCCCACAAGAAGAGGAGGAATTGCTGCTACCCAAATACACATTTGGGAAGATTCTCCAGCCAAGCCGGGCGCTAACTGAGTAGGCGATTTCACTTCACCGTCAGTCCGTTCATAAAAGACTTTCCTAATTCACTGCGGCAGACACGGCAAGATAAAAATGTTAAGTACATCCTCACTGGGAGGAGACTGAAGCCTCCACACTCAATCAAAGATTTGCAATAATAGGATTCATTTTAAAAAGAAAAGAAAAACAAAGAAAAAGGGGGACGGAGGACAGATGGGATTAGAAAATGTTGCAGTAAAGACTGTTGGATGAGATGAGCTCACAGCCCCCGGCTGTCTTTTGTGGACCCGCACAATGATCCCCGAGCCAGACTGGATTAGCCAGCCTTGCGACTAAGGTGGGAGTCTGGAGAGCAGCGGCGGCGACCAGAGCGGCTGGTTCCCAGGCACTTGGGGGAGCAAAGACCAGAACGATGCATCAGATTTACAGCTGCAGCGACGAAAACATAGAAGTTTTCACCACCGTGATCCCTTCCAAAGGTGAGTGCAATTGCCCTTGACGGTGGCCCTGCGCGTGGCCTCTCCCGCAGCGGGGGCATGGAGCCTAGCGTGCTGTTGCCCTAACTACATTCTGTCCTCAGGTGTCTCAGGGCTGGCTTCCCTGCTTGGATTGCTATTGTTTTTCCCAAAGGAGGCACAGGATGTAGAATCAGGCCGAAACGATCCATCAAGAGGAAAGCAGTTTCTTTTGTACCGGCAGCCAGGCACGCAGCATGGAAGCCCCACAAGCCATTGCTAAGCAAACATGCCAACAGACTCCTTTCCGGGACTCCCCTTTCTCCCCTGAGCAAGCCGGCTCCAGTGTGTGAGTTTTCACTGGGCGGTGCAGTGGGAAGCCCTCAAGTTCCCAGGGGTGGCTCCACTCTGAGGAGCAGGTGGGGTATCCGGAACTGGGGTTGGCCTCTGATCACCATCCCAGGGCTGCCTTGCCTAACTTAACCAGGAACTTTACAAGGCTTCGTGTACCACAGCGTACAGCGCTGGATCCTAGGGGAAAAGTGCTTGGTGTGTGAGGGGCAGCTCTCTCTCCCGCAGCCCCTATCTTGCCCCTACAGCCTGTGACACAGGCTCAGCCCTGGTCTCATTGTCAGATCTGAATGAAGTGGGCTGGATGTTTTCGCTGGTGTTATAACTGCACATTCCAACAACCTCTTTCTTCCTCTGGTGTCAGCCGCCGACAAGCTTAAGGAGACCAGGGAGACACACAAGGCTGGCCAAAAGAAGCAGCCAGTAAGCCAGCCACTTGCTCACATACAGGATTCTCTTTGGCAACTTGGGTCAGTGGCAGCTCCACCTCTGAGTAATGAGTCCAAGGGAACTAAGCATTCAGCGACTCCCGGGGCGTGATGCTAAGAGACCAGCTGGAGACAACCTGTGTGTCCATGAACTTGATGTCTTTGTACTGTACACTCTGTCATCCTGGGCAGCAGAAGTGCACTGGATGGGGTTGGGGGCGGGGGCGGGAGGCTGGATGTAGATCTTAAAGCCAGAATGTTGCATGGAAACAAAACCAGGCTGAAAAAAATCATATATATAATAGCATTTCTGCCAGCTTGGAAACACAAAGCAATACTATACATTTCTGCTTAAGGGTTTGCATCTAGAGACAAGAATGCAATATACCAGACAGACCCGTGTCATAGTCTCAACACTGGGGACGGGGCAGGGAGACAGAGATTTAGGGGAGCTTGAAAGGGGGCACCTAAACTTTACCTCTAGTTTTGTACATCTTTGCTTCACAAAGAAAACAGTTGGAACAAAGATGGAAATGTTAACCATACATATGTTCCTATTTAACAAACTAGCCAAGAAGTGACTGCCATTCCTCTACTGTGTAACCTGGAGCAAATTACTTAACTTCTCTGGTCCTGACTTACTTTTTCTGTAAAAGAGAAAAGCAGAAAATCTCCCATGATTGCCCTGGGAAAGAAATTAGTTCTTATATGTTAATCATCTAGAACAGTTCTGTCACTTAGAAAGTTTGCATTTAAAACAACAAGTATGTCTAGTGACAGATAAACATTTAAACCTCTATTCCTTTCTTGGCATTTTCATTCATGACCACCTGCTGGTATCAACCTAAGGATTCATTGAAATTCATGAACATTTCACCTCTCAGGAGGAGTTGTGACCTTGCATTGGATCAGGAAGGGACCAGGTCTGCCCCCACCCATTCCTTGCTTTGCCACCCAGGCCTTCTCCTGAGCTTTCGAGCAGGCGGCTCTCTGTACAAGCATGTCTGAAAGAATCCCCACAGCCTGTAACGGCAGAAGTGGGACTGGTTTGACATTTTGCAGCAGGGGTTGCTGCCCTGCCTGCCATGCCCTTCCCCAGAGGCCACAGCTTAGTCAAGCTCATCAATCCACAAGAACCACTTTTCTTTTCAGCACGAGCCCAGCAGTGTGGGCAACATAGCCTAGTTTAGAGTCTGGATCTTAGTCCATCATTGAGTGAACTCCCTGCCGTCACAGTGGAGTTAATGAAGAGCACTCACTTCATGGAGAGGTTGTAGAGATGAAGAAGGTAAACTAAGCCACCACTTACTCACACTGCGTGCTCACACTGTTATCACATTTATTGTTGCATGATAACCCTTTCTGCAACACATACGTATCCGGTTCAGCAAAATACAGGGAACTGCAAAAAAAAGTTCATGGAAAATGGGACGGATACTTGGCATACTAGTTACGGTAGTACTGCTTGGGACACCTTCATCCCACAATCATAGTGCCTGGGTTCGACGCCCGGCTCTGCTTCTGATCACAGCTTCCTGCTGATACACGTCCTGGGAGACAGCAAGTAATGGCTCAAGTGCCTGGGTCCTGCCACTCGGGACACCTGGGCTAAGTTCCTGGCTTCTGCTTCAACTCACCAAGCTCTGATCATTGTCAGCATTTGAGGACTAGACAGGAGATTCTTCATCTCTCTCTCTCGCTCTCTCTCACACACCACCTTTCAAATAACATAGAAAAAAAACTGTGAAGTTCATGAAAGTAAAATTTTATGCAAACAGTTTGAAAGTAATGCATATTTTATCCTAATGTACATTTTCTAGGAAGACATCATATGTCTGCAAAAATTTTAACGGAACCATCTTGATACCTGACAAAGATACAGCGGTGCCAAATATTATGATGTTTCTTAAATGTGTTAAAAGCATAGAATCTAAATAAATAAGTCTGTAACAGATAACACATGAGTATTGTTAGTTTCCAGAGAGAAAGGGAGTTCTTTCAAGAAAGGATGTCACACATACAATTCACAGTAAAACAAACAAAATAAAAGCTGTGGTTTTTCTAAGAAGTAAGAGAAGTTACTTCCTGAGACACACCAATGTGAATTTAGTTCTAGGAGTAATGATACCACATTATTTAGAATAATTATTTTAAGGATAAGTAATAATAATAAGTTGTGGGGATGAGAAGGACAGAAAGAGCAGCGACAAGACATGAGAAAGTTCCAGAAAAAAAATCCTAATGAAAACCTCCAATCTCTGGACCTATTCACCTATTCCTTCCGAATGCCTTCATCTTACAGAGAAGGAGGGTCTTCGTTACCATTAATTCCCAAGAGTGTGTTGTTTGCTAAATGTTGAGCCAGGATTTTATAGATGAGCACATGTGATGCTGGACGCAGATCTCTTGAGGCGGATGCTATTTTGATCTCAGTCTTTTTTTAATTTTCCTAATTCTTTAAAGATATTGAAAAGGAAGATTTACAGAAAGAAGGAGAGAAAGATTAGAATGTTCTTCCATTCACTCATTTACTCCTCAAATACCCACGATGGCTAGAACTGAGCCCATCCAAAGCCAGAAGCCATGAGCTTATTATTTGTTTCCCATGAGGATGCAGAGTCCTAAGACTTTGGGCCATCCTCTACTACATCAGCCCTCCCACAAGGACCAGGATGGGAAATGGAACAGCCGGGACATGAACCAGTACACATTTGCAATCCTGGCACTTCCAGTGGTAGGACTAGCTAATTGTATCAGGTCCATGATCCCAGTCTTATACATGAGGAATGAGGCTTAGTGGGGCTGATTCAGGTATCCAAAACACATAACTGGCCAGTGGTCAATGTCAGACTCATTTCCAAGTGGAGGGAGTTGAGGGCCAAGGCTATTAACAAGCATGTTGTACTCCAGGCTTCATAGCTGCAGGAAAATAACAAAGGCAGCACCTTCGTGTCACTTTACTGCCTTGTGGTAAGAAGTCATTTCCATTCTAAGCAGGGCAGGGGCATGCTGGGATTTCAGTTCCAGGTAGTTCATCCTAGGAGCAATGTGGAAAATAGATATCTAAAGTCTTTTCAACAAAGGCCACACCTTCTCCCAAGAAAGTACTACAACTCCTTCTATGATTAATCAGTTTCTTTAAATTTTTTAAATTTTTTCTTATTTGAAAGGAAGATTTGCAGGGAGAGAAGCAGAGAAAAAGAGAGATATTCCACCTGCTAATTCACTCCTCAAATGGCTGCAGTGACCGAAGCCAGGCTGGTCCAAAGCCAGGAGCCTAGAGCTTCTAGGTCTGCCACATGGGCACAGGGGCCCAAGGACTAGAGCCATCCTCTTCTACTTCCTCAGGCCACAAGCAGGGAGCTGGATTGAAGTGGAGCAACCAGTGCCCATTGGGCAGGCCAGCACTGCAGGTAGAGGATTAGCCTGTTATGCCACTGTGCCAATCTCTTTAAGCTCTTCTAAAAACTGTGGGAAAACACATGTCATGTGAAATTTACTGTTTTTGAATGTGCAGTTCAGTAACAATAAGCACATTCCAGTTTGTATAAGCATCACCATCAACACAGCATTTTCGTTATCCTAAATTGAGACTCCCAGTACTCAGTAATTTCCCCATCCCCATGTCCCCATGTGGGTAACTACCACTTAGTTTCTTTCTCTATGACATGATGACTCTGCTTCCTCTGGGTGCATCTTGTTCAATGGACTCCTACAATACCTACCCATTGTGTAACTTAGTTCGCTTAACACATTTACAGGAACAGTCCACTCTCAGTGTATATCAGAATTTCGTACTTTTCAAGGCTGAGTCATATTCTATTGTGTGGACATACTGTATTGTGTTTACTCATTTATCTATTGATGGGCATTTGGACTGATTCCGAATTTCAGATTTTATGAATCATCCTGTTATTAATTCTTAAACCAAGTACCATCTTAAAATGTTATGGAGTCCTGCTTCTTTTTCCCACCTGCACTTTTATGTCTCCATATCTACTCTATGTCCAGACATTCTCAGTGTTATTACTGTAGGTATATCAGTCCCATGCATATCCTCTAAAAAACATTTCTTTATTTCTCCCCGCAGTGACCAGTCCGGCCAGAAGAAGAGTCAAAAGCTCTCAACACCTCTTGAGCAAGAATGTGAGAAACTTTTTGTTTTGATCCATTTAATTGACTTTCATAAAAATCAGAGCTGGTTTTCCTGCTCACTCTCCCTTGTTCTCTGTGACTAGGGGTGGGTTTTGTTTTCGCATGAGGTTTTTACTGCACTCTTTCCCTTCTACTTAACCAAAATGTCAACCAGGCACCAAAGAGCCTGAATCAATCCCTACTGTTGTGCCATTTTCCCCAGGTGCCAAGAGTCAATATCCATATCAACAAACTTTTTGAAGTTCCCTTATCCATTAGGTATCAATATTATTACTTTGACAATAAACATAGCTTTTTAAAATTTGTCTTTCTATAAGTAGTAATGTGGATCTTCATATTTTCATAGTTTATTGATCATTTTGATATTTTCTTCCCTCCATAGTTTCTTATTTATGAGTTTTTGTCAGTAGTTTGCCTTTGATTTTTTCTTTTAAAAATTTGTCTATGTATTATTCCATGATACAATTTTATAGGCTCCAAGATTTTCCTTACCTCCTCCTAATTCCTGATCCCCTCCACTACATTATAATAGAACAGTCCTTCACAATCAGTTGTTACATCCATCATTCTGGTATTTAAGTGTATCCTGACATTGTAGGCATCAATTTCTTAAGGACAAAATCATATATCTCTTTAAAGTGCAATTTAAGCACTATCTTTTTTTTAACCTTTTAAAAAATTACTATCATTTTATGATACAGTTACATAGACCCTAAGATTTCCCTTTCCCCCTCTCCAAATCCATCCCCCACCCCCGAGTACCCCTATATTATTATTATAGTATAGTTCCCCATACACAGTCATATGTCCATCATTGCAGGCATGGGCAATGGCAAAGAGTCTAGCACTCTAGTGTCAAGATATAGTAAACAGTTTCATGGGGAGTCCATCTTGGTCTGGAAGGAGAGATGCATACTGCATTGTATCCTCACATCTGGATATGATAGTCTCCATTACACAGTTACTGTACATCCCCTTGAATGAAAAGCCACAATACAAAATCAAAAACAGAAAAGAAAATAGAAACTCACAATGTCATGCTGCTAGATATAATAGTCTCCATTACATAGTTACTATAAAATCCCTTAAATGAAAGGCCACAAAAAAAAAATCAACAACAGGAAGAAAAAAAGGAAAAATGACATGAAGTTAAATAGCATGCTACTGAATGACTAATGTGTCGTTGAAGAAATAAAAAAAAATCAAGACTCTTGAAGAAAATGATGCTGCTGTATGATCTATGAGTCAGTGAAGAATTTAATGAAGAGATGGAACTTTAAAAAATGTCAAAATCCATGAGCTATAGTTTCTGCTAATCTTTGTTGGTGAAATGCGTCTCCTGTAAGCAACAAATAGATGAGCTTTGTGTTTTCAATCTAGTCTACAAATCCATGATATTTGATTGATGAGTTTAAGCCATTTACATTCAGGATTAATATGAAAGGTTGGCTGTTTGGTCCTGTCATTTTAGCATTGGGTTGTTCATTGATTTAGTTTTCTGTTGTTATTTTACTGGGATGTTCTTCACATTTGCCTTTGGTTTTGGTGGGTGCTATTCCACTTCTCTGTCAAGAGAATATCTTGAAGTATCATTTATAGTGCAGGTTTGGAAAAAGCATATTCTTTTAACTTTTCTTTACTGTGAAAGAATTTTATTTCATTTTCAAACACAAAGGAAAGCTTTGCGAGGTACATTATGATCAGCCAACAATTTTTTGCTTTTAGAATCTGGAATGTGTTGTTCCATTCTCTTTTGGCCTGTGGAGTTTCCTGTGAGAGATCTCCTGTGAATCTAATTGGCCTTCCTTTATATGTCAATTGATTTTTTTTCACATGCACATTTAAGGATCTTTTCCTTACATTCGATTGAAGACAGCTTGATTATTATCATGTGTCTAGGTGAAGATCGCTTTTGATCAGGATTGTTGGGATTTCTGTGCCCCTCCTGAATCTTGTTTTCTAATTCTTTCTCTAGATTAGTGAAATTTTCCTTTATTATTTCATTAAATATATTTTTAAACCCAGCTTCTCTTTCTGCACCTTCTGAGACTCTTACATTCAACCTTTCAATAGTGTCTACTGTGTCTTTCAGTTCTTGAATATTTTTTTTTAGCTTGACCCAGCTCTGCTTCCACCTTTTCCTTTGTTTCTTCTTGATGACAAGAAATATTTTCTAATTTTGAGGTTCTTTCTTCTGTCTCCTTCATTGTATTTTGGAGACTCTCCACTGTACTTTTAATTTACTCCACTGTATTCTTCATTTTTAATAGATTAGTTTTCATTTGATTCATTTCCTGTGTGACATATTCCTTAATTTCTTGAACTCCTGTATTAGGTGGTTTTCATTGTTGATAAGAAGATTCATAACAAGTGTTTTGAATTCTGTATCCCCCATTTTCCTAATGTCTTCCTCAGTTAATTCTGAAGTTGGCAAAGGCTTTTGCTCCTTTGCATGGGGAGTCTTCAGTAATATTCATTGTGCCTTTGTCTCTTCTTTTACTTTTGGTCATTGTACTTCTGATTAGCAGATTCTTCTCCTTGGGACAGGTTTCTAAACTGTGTCATTCACAATTCAATTTTATTTCTTGCACTTGGCACACAGCTCTTTGTTTGCAGTCACTTGTGCCACTCCCTCTAGTGAGTTCCAGGTCTGGGTTCTTATGTTAGATTTCCACCATGGTCTTTGTAGCCCCAGCTCCTGGCTCACCTGTAATCCCGTGCTGAGATTGCACTGTTGTCTATACAATGTTTCTTCGACTTCCAGTTGGAGCAGGTCCCAGGATTAGGGAGACACCAGATGTCCTCTATAGCTAGGTTGTTGGTGGTGGTGATCTTGTTGGAATCTGTTGGCTGTTAGGTCTGGGGGTCACATGGACATATTTTGACCTGCTCGATGCCAAAGTAGGTATTATTTTCCATGTGGGACAAGTGCAATGCACTGAGCTCAGTGAGTTCACTCACAGCTCAGCACGTGCACAGCTCACTGTTGTCTCCTGTAGCCGTAGCACCTTTACCACACTGTACAAAATGGCACCTGATGTGCCACTACTAAAGTTCTTGTTCTGCTGGCCGTCAGGTCTGAGGGCTACCCAGACCTGTTTTGGGTGGAACTTGTAGGATGCCTCATTGTTGCAGTTCGCTGAGCCAGAAATGAATTCACTCCCAGTTCAGTGCATGTGCAGTCCTGTCCCATAGCCTTTGTCTCTCTAGTCATAATTGCATCCAATTTGGCTCTAGCAGACTGACCGGGTTGTGAAATTCACCCTGTTCCTGCACTGCCTGTCTGGAACCTGCCACTCTGTCTCTGCTTCTGATCCAATCAAACAGACCAGCAGGACGGACAGTTCTTTGGTGTTCACCTCCTGAACTCCCAGTGAATGTTCTTTGCCACCTTGTTGCTGATGGAATTCTACTTGCCAGTCCATTTCAGATAGTCACTCACTGAATGCTGCTGGGTTATCGGTCACTGCAGCACTACCCTGTTGTGCCCTTCCCATGTCTGTCAGTCTCTGGGTACCCCTCTGCTGTTGTTCTGTCCTCTTTTATTTCCTGGAATGTGCCCTCTCTGCTTCACACGGGCTAATGTTTCTCTGTCTGTTCAATCGTGTCCTTACCCTATTCTGCCATCTTGATTCTCAGTAATATCCCTTTTATGAGGCCTTTATAAGGACTTAAGACTATATTTTACATATTAAGGAGTTAAATGCCTTTGTAAGGACTAATGAGTACACTTTACGTATTAAGAGAGGGTCCTTTTTTTTAGTTATTTATTTATTTGAGAGGTAAAGCTGCATAGAGAAAGAACAGGAAAGAGAGAGAGAGATTCCATTTGCTGGGTCATTCCCCAGATGACCACAACCACCTAGGCCTGTTCAAAGCCAGGGGCCAGAAGCTACTTAGAATTTCCCATGTTTGTACGGGATCTCAGCACTTTAGCCATTCTCTCCTGTTTTCCCAGGTACATTAGCAGGGAGCTGGATAAGAAATTTAGCAGTGAGGGCCCCATGTTTTGGGATATCAAATCAAATCTGCAACCCTGGAATCCTGTAAGGGTGATGGTTCAAGTCCCAGCTGCTCCACTTTGGTTCCTGCTCTCTGTTAATGTCCTGTGAATTCAGAGGAAGACGACCCAAAGTGCTTGGAACCCCTGCATGTATTTGAGGGACCCTAAAGTTCCTGGTTCCTGGCTTCAGCTTGGGCAGTAAAAAAACAGATGAAAGATTTCTCTTTCCCTCTCTCTGTTTCTGTAACTCTATGTCTAAAATAAATAAGTAAATAAAACCTTAAAAGAAGTAAAGCATCTGGGGCTAGAACCAGTGTCCATATATGGCAAACTATCACCACCACTACGGTAACAGTATTGGCCAAGATGGGCTTTTAATGAATGGAAAATTTGGTCCTAAGATAGAGCTTCTGATCAATCTCTGATCCCTGAAAACTTAAAGTGTAGAAACAAAATGTTTCAGGTTTCCAAGAACCAGTGAATGAGGTAGTATTAAACAGGAAAACAAAAGAGAGGTTTGTAGGTAATTCAGCATTTCAGAAAGTCCCATAACAGAACAACTTTTTCAGCCAAAAATGTGAGTTCCTGTCTTCACATCCACAATCTTCCTTCAGGTAGGATGGCCTGTAATACCCTCCAGCTATAAGGCTATTTGGTTTTGTTTTAATTTTAGTATGTTTGTATTTTTGAAAAGTTGAGCAAGAGAGTGAGATCTGCTGATACACTCTCCAATGCTCCCGTCAGTCGGGGCTGGGCCAAACCCAAGCCCAGGAACAGGAACTTCAGCTTGATATCCCACAGGGATCCAAGGATTTGAGACCTCCCAGAGTGTGCATTTGCACAATACCGGGTTGCAAACAGGCATGTCTGGCTTTTTGATATTTCCTCTGCATTTCTGATTTCTCTTGATCTTATCCTGCTCCTGCTTGTAAGATCCAACGCCTCTATACAGAACTTTCAAACTAGAAGAGACAGGTGAACTCTTAGT